ACAGAAAAGGAAATGAGAAGGGAATCAAAATGGCACATTAGAAATAAGCAATTAAACAGAAAAGAAGGCAGTAATACAGGACATAAGACATATAGCAAACAAATAGCAAAATGACAAAAGCCCTTCCTTGTCAGCAATCACTTTAAATGTAAATGGAGTAAATTCTCCAATTAAAAGGCAAAGACTGGCGGAATGGATCTTAAAAATTATGATCCATCTAAATGCTGTCTATATGACGAATTCACTTCAGATCCAAAGGCACAAAGAGGTTGAAAGTGAAACAAGGGAAAGAGATATTCCACACAACTAGTAATCAAAGCGTGCTGGCGTGGCTGTACTGATATCAGACAAAATAGACTTCAAGTCAAAAATTGTTATAAAAGACAAAGAAAGACTATATATTGATAAAAGGGTCAATTGATCAAGAAGATGATGTAACAAGTATAAAACTGTACACATCTGATAAGAGGTCACAAAATTAAGTAAGGCAAAGATTGACTGAACTGGAGGGAGAAATAGTTCTACTGTAACAGTCGGAGATTCAACATTCTACTTTCAATAATGGATAGAACATCTAGACAGAAGATAATAAAGAAACAGAGAACATGAACAATACTATAAACTAACTAGACTTGAAAGAAATACACAGAATACTCCACTCGACAGCAGCAGAACACACATTCTCAGGTGCACAGGGTGCATTATCCAGGACAGATGACACGTCAGGCCATAAAATGTACCTTAAACATTTTTTTAAAGATTGGAATTATATGAAGTATCTTCTCTGACCACAGTGAAATGAAACTAGGAATAAATAAGTAAAACTGAAAAATTCATAAATGAAAGCTAAACAATATACTCTTCAGCAACCCATATATCAAAGAAGAAATCATAAGGCTAATTAGGATATACTCAGAGACAAATGAAAACAAAAACACAACAAACCAAAACTTTCAGGACGTAGAAAAATCAGTGCATAGAAAGGAATTTATAGCTATAAATGCCTACATAAAAGAGGTCTAAAATCAAGAACCTAAAAGTATACCTTAAGAAGCCAGAAAAAGAAAAATAAACTAAACACTCAACCAGCAGAAGGAAGGAAATAGTGAAGATTAGAGTGAAAATAAATAAACAATAACAAAGCAATAGCAAATCAACAGAAAAAGTTGATTCTTTGAAGACGGTCAACAAAATTGACAAACCCAAGTTGACTAAGAAGAAAAGAAAGACAATTCAAAACGCTGAGATAAAAAGTGAAAGTGGTACATCACTCCCAAACTTAACAGAAGCTAAAAGGATTATGACAGTATGAAGAACTGTATGCCAAAAAATTAGATAACCTAGACGAAATGGACAAATTCCTAGAAACAAACAAACTACCAAAATTGACTCAAGAAGAAATAAAAAAAATCTGAATGCACCTGTAACAAATAAAGAGATTGACTCAGTAATTTAAAAAAAAAAAAACTCCCAACAAAACAGCCCAGAGTCAGGTGACTTCGCTGATGAATTCTACCAAACGTAGAGAGTCACTAACACCAACCCTCCCAAACTCCTCCAAAAAACAAGAGGAAGAAACACTCATCCTATGAGGCCAGTATCACTCTGATGCCAAAGTCACACAAAGATAACATATGAGTAGGAACCTATAGGCCACTATTCCTTACGAATATATATGCGAAAATCTTGAACAACATACGAGCAAACTGAATCCAGCAGTATACTAGAAAGATTATACACCATGAACAAGAGGGATTTATTCCAATAATGCAAGGACGGTTCAACACAGGATATCAATCAACATAATATATCATCTTCACAGAATAAAGGGAAAAACTATATGATCATCTCAAATGGGTGTAGAAAAGGCACTTGTCAAAATCTGACACCCTTTCATGATTTAAAAATTCAACAAACTAGAATTAAAAGGGAACCTCCTTAGCGTAACAAACGGTATTTATAAAAATCTACAGCTAATATCGTACTCAGTAGTGGAAGACTGGAAGCTTTTCCCCTAAAATTGCTTAGGAGAACCTAAGCAAGGACGCCCACTTTCACCACTTCTATTCAGCACTGTCCTGGAAGCACTAGCCAGAGCAATTAAGAAAAAGGCCAGGAGTTTGAGACCAGCCTGGCCAACATGGAGAAACCCCGTCTCTACTAGAAATACAAAAAAATTAGCTGCTTGTGGTGGTGCACACCTGTAGTCCCAGCTACTCAGGAGGCTGAGGCATGAGAATTGCTTGAAACCAGGAGGCGGAGGTTGCATTGAGCTGAAAACACATATAGCTCAATTTTTAAAATGGCCAAAATACTTGAATAAACATTTCTTCAAGGAAGATATACATACATACATTTATTTATTTATTTATTTATTTATTTATTAATTATTTTTTGAGATGGAGTTTTGCTCTTGTTGCCAGGCTGGAGTCCAATGGCACAATCTCAGCTGACAGCAACCTCTGCATCCTGGGTTCAAGCAATTCTGCCTCAACCTCTCAAGTAGCTGGGATTACAGGCAGGGGCCATTATGCCAAGCTAATTTTTGTATTTTTAGTAGAGATGGGGTTTCACCATATTAGGCAGCCTGGTCTCGAACTCCTGACCTCTGGTGATCCACCCAACTTGGCCTCCCAAAGTGCTGGGATAATAGGCATGACCCACCAAACCCGGCCCATTTATTTTTTATTATTTATTTTGAGATGGAGTCTCACTCTGTCACCCAGGCTGGAGTGCAATGGCGCTATCTCTGTTCACTGCAACCTCCGCTTCCCGGGTTCAAGCGATTCTCTTGCCTCAGCCCCCTGAATAGCTGGGATTACAGGTGCCCACCACCACGCCTGGCTAATTTTTATATTTTTAGTAGAAACAGGGGTTTCACCATGTTGGCCAGGCTGGTCTCAAACTCCTGACCTCACGTGATCCGCCCGTCTCGGCCTCCCAAAGTGCCGAATTACAGGCGTGAGTCACCACACACCTGGCCCAAGAAAGACATATAAATGGCCAACAAGCACATGAAAAGAGGTACAACATCTTTAGTCAACAAGGAAATTCAAATTGAAACCACAATGAGATGCCACTTCACACCCACCAGCACGGTTATAATTTAAAAAACAGAAAATAACAAGTATTGATGAGGATATGTAGAAATTGGAACATTCATACATTGCTGGTAGGGATGTAAAATGCATCCACTGTGGAAAAGTCTGGCAGCTCTTCAGTATGTTAAACACAGAGTTACAATATGAGCCAGAAATTCTACACCAAGGAATATACCCAAAGGATTTGAAAACCAGGGTTCAAACAACAGCCATACACAAAGGTTCATACTGTCACCATTCGTAGCAGCAAACAGTAGAACAACCCAAATGTCCATTGCCTGACAGACGGACACACAAAACCTGGCACACATGTACAACTGAATATTGTCCTTCCATAAAAAGGAATGGAGCACCGATACATGCCACAGCACAGAGGAATGTTAAAACATTATGCTAGGGGCAGGCGTGGTGGCTCACGCCTGTAATCCCAGCACTTTGGGAGGCCGAGACGGGTGGATCACGAGGTCAGGAGATCGAGACCATCCTTGTGAACACGGTGAAACCCCATCTCTACTAAAAATACAAAAAATTAGCCGGGCGCGGTGGCGGGTGCCTGTAATCCCACCTACTCGGGAGGCTGAGGCAGGAGAATGGTGTGAACCTGGGAGGCGGAGATTACAGTGAGCTGAAATCACGCCACTGCACTCCAGCCTGGGCAACAGAGCGAGACTCCGTTTCCAAAAAAAAAAATTTTTGCTAAATGAAGCCAGTTACAAAAGAGCACGTGTAACCTTACTCCATTCATACGAAATGTCCAGAATAGGCAAATCCACAGAGACAGAAAGCAGACGAGTGGTCGCTAGGGATAGAAGAACCTGCCACTGCAGAATACCACAGACTGGGGGGCGGAAGGGGTTTTTCACAGTTCTGGAGGCTGGGAAATCCCAGAGTAATGGTCCAGCAGAGTCGGTGTCTGGTGAGGGCCACTTCCTGGCTCACACAGGTGCCTTCTCCCTGTGTTCTTACACAGCAGGAGGGCGGAGGGAGCTCTGTGGAGCCTCTTTTGTAAGGGCACTAATCTCATTCATGAGGCCCCACCCTCATCCTAATCACCTCCCAAAGTTCCCACCTAACATCATTCTAATACTATCACCCCGGGGGCTTCAAATATGAATTTGGGGGGAGGTGGACACAGACAGTCAGATCACAGTAATAAATCCCTACCTAAGAAGAAGAAATTTTACGTCTACTAGGTTCTTTCTTTCCTTTCTTTCTTTTCTCTTTGTCTTTCTTTCTTTCCTTCTTTCCTTCCTTCCTTCCTTCCTTCCTTCCTTCCTTCCTTCCTTCCTTCCTTCCTGTGTTATTGTATTGCCTCTTTTTCTTTCTCTTTCTCTCTCCCTCTCTCTCTCTCTCTCTCTCTCTTTTTGGGTGATCTTGCTCTATCCACCCATTGCCTTCCTTCCTTCCTTCCTTCCTTCCTTCCTTCCTTCCTTCCTTCCTCTTTCTTTCTCTCTCTCTCTCTCTCTCTTTTTTGAGATGGAGTCTTGCTCTGTCACCCAGGCTGGAGTGCAGTGGCATGATCTTGGTTCACTGCAACATCTGCCTCCTGGGTTCAAGCAATTCTCCTGCCTCAGCCTCCCAAATAGCTGTGATTACAGGCATGTGCCACTACAACTGGCTAATTTTTGTATTTTTTGGTAAAGATGGGGTTTCCCCATGTTGTCCAGGCTGGTCTTGAACGCCTGACCTCAAGTGATCTGCCTGCCTTGGCCTCCCGAAGTGCTGGGATTAGAGTCGTGAGCCACCACGTCTGGCCTCTACTAGGTTCTTAATAAGTGGTAGACCCAGCTACCACCAGGATACTTTTTGTCAGTATTTGAACAACACGAAACTGTTTCAGTATGTAAGTTGATAAGAAACCACAAATTATAGTCTAATAATCTAAGCATGTTTACTTACCACCTCGGGGAGAAGGAGAATCGTGCCCCCCAATGATCACATGGACACCAGAATCTTCCAGTTTCACTCTCCATTTTTCAATGATAGCCCCAGACTTGTCCTGAAAGCAGAACGCTGGCAGGTCAGGAAACTGCCCTCAGAACAGTCAACCGTTGCTGACACTGGGGCTGAGTCACCCGATAGGAAGTTGATACAAACCTTACTGGCATCATTGAAAACAGACAGCTCCATCGTGCCTTCAAAGTCCTGTTGCAAAACAGACCTCAAACACTCATCCAGCCATGGTTCAGCATTGTGGACTGGGAGGATAACAGACTGGAATTCAAAAAAATGGATTAATAGAAATGTGTAAACTTAGTTCCCTTTCCATGGCTCTAATTTACCTCCCCCTCCCCATCCGCACATATGCCGTGACAAACAAAAGGTGTCCACTCGTTCTCTCCAGGCTCTTAACATGCTCGTAAGATTTTTTATGCCTTAGCTTTCCCTGAACTGCCTTCCATATGCTTTTGAAAGGGGGGAAAAAAAACTGAAAGGACTTTGGGAGGCCGAGGCGGGCGGATCACGAGGTCAGGAGATCGAGACCATCCTGCCTAACACAGTGAAACCCCATCTCTACTAAAAACACAAAAAATTAGCCAGGCATGGTGGCAGGCGCCTGTAGTCCCAGCTACTCGGGAAGCTGAGGTAGGAGAATGGCGTGATCCTGGGAGGCGGAGGCTGCAGGGAGCTGAGATGGCGCCACTGCACTCCAGCCTGGGCGACAGAGCAAGACTCTGTCTCAAAAACAACAACAACAACAAAACAAACAAAAACAAAAACAAAAAAACTGAAAGGCATCAAACTGTTCCCAATTCAATGGTAACTCATAAGTTTTCCAATGACTGATCAGAAACATCATTTTGGTTGAAACAAGTATCTGGGTATCTTCCAACCCACTGATGGAAATAACTGGATTTTCTAGGTAGAATAAGCATTTCAGCAAACCATGTTAGAAAATCTGCAACAAAGTAACCCCTTTAAGTAACCCCTGGCCCACAAAAAGCAATGTTTTAACAAAGTATCCGGCAGGCGGTGTTCAGAGAACCGAGCTGAGCCAATGGGAGTCCTGAGGTCCATCTCTGGATTCCTCGGTTCTACCTTCGTTTTGGGCTGACTTGGCACTAGCACTGTCCTCTTCTCATGAAGCCCAAAACCAAAACTTCTCAAGTGGGATGGAGTAAAACCAGTGAAACCCAATGCCAACAAAACTGACTTAACAGGAGTTGTCTTAATTTTATACATTATGATATTAAGTGATACAGAGCAATACTCAGATATTAGTCTGTCCTCACCCTTAATTTATATCGAAAAAAGAAAAGTTGAAATTGTGTTGAAAACACAATTTAGTCAAGCTCTTTATAAATGAAACCTCACTCTATCCCTTCCTGGACTTAGGTTTATATGAATAAAACAAGTTCTGGCCGGGCGCAGTAGCTCATGCCTGTAATCCCAGCACTTTGGGGGTCCAAGGCGGGTGGATCATCTGAGGTCAGGAGTTCAAGACTAGCCTGACCAACATCAAGAAACCCCATCTCTACTAAAAATACAAAATTACCCTGGTATGGTGGCGCATGCCTGTAATCCCGGCTACTCAGGAGGCTGGGGCAGGAGAAATGCTTGAACCCGGGAGGCAGAGGTTGCGGTGAGCCGAGAGCGCGCCACAGCACTCCAGCCTGGGCAACGAGAGTGAAACTCTGTTAAAAAAAAAAAAGAATAAAACGAGTTCCCTAATTTATTTACAAATTTACCTTAGTTTGGATTTATTTAAAGGAAAGGAAGGAAATAATTTTTCTCAAGATCTACAAAATACAATGTTTCTATCAAAGACAGATCTTGATTAATCTGTCCCCAATTTTAGTAAGACTGGAATAAACAAGAAAAGAAAAAAGGCTGGAATTAAAAAAAAAAAAAAAGAAAAGAAACATGCTGAGCCTTTGGGCGACTGCTGATCCTACACCTCTGTGGTTGTTCACTGTATCAGTCTATTGGCTGGGTCTGAACCCCGAGGGCCTCTGCTCCTGCCTCTCCCGGCCGCATGGGGAAGGTGTTTGGGGCTTGTGGGCAGGTTTTCAGGGCAGGTGTTGGGGTAAGTGCTGGGCACGCAGGCAGGTGTGTGGGCACTGAGCAGGTTGCGGGTAGGTGTGTGGCATATGCAGGCAGGTGTGCGGGGCAGGTGCACAGGCAGGTGTAGGGCACGGGCATGTATGCAGGACACAGAGCAGGTGTGTGAAGCAGGGGTGCAGGCACAAGACGGGTATGTGGGGCACGGGCAAGTGTGCCGGGAATGTGTGAGGGCAGATGTGTGGGGCGCGAGGTTGTGTGGGGGCACACGGACAGGTGTGCAGACAGGCGTGTGGGGCATGGGGAGGTGTGCGGGTGCGGACAGTGTACAGGGTGTGGGGCAAGTCTGCAGACCAGGTGTGTGGAGCGCAGGACAGGTGTGCAGACCAGGTGTGTCGGGTGCGGAGGCGAGGCAGGTGCGCGGGGCACGACTGTGGGGTGTGGGGCAGGTGTGCAGGCTTGGGGCAGGTGCACACAGCAGGTGCGCGGGAGCGAGGCGGGAGCGAGGCGGGAGCGAGGCGGGAGCGAGGCGGGAGCGAGGCGGGAGCGAGGCGGGAGCGAGGCGGGAGCGCGGGCGCGGGGAAGGGCGCGGGGAAGGGCGCGGGGAAGGAGCGCGGCGCAGGCGGGAGGGAACGAGGTAGGTGAGCCGTCCGTCCACCCCACGACGAGGTGAGGGCGAACGGGGAACTGCCTGAGCTCCCAGCCCCGAAGCTTCAAAATCAGAACGAGGGAGGTCGGTGAGGAGGCAGCGTTCGCGGGACTGGGAGCCGGAAGCGCAGCCCGAGCTGCAGCTCTCGGCCGCGCCCCGTGGGCTCCAATCCCGAGCGCCCCCGCACGCGCAGCCGCGCTCGCCCGCAGGGCCGAAGGGCTGCTCAGGGTGGAGGCTCCGGAGGCGAGCCCGAGAGGGGGTGCGGGGCTGCGGAGCCCGGAACGGGAGAGGGCTGGAGGGCGGGGTGAGGGGACGCGAGGACCCAGGCTGAGCCGCGGGGCGCCCTCCCCGCTGGCACCTACCACGTGGGCCTGCATGGCCTGGAGCTCCTCGGACGCCCCGCCCACGCCGCTGCGCTCGTCCCGCCGCTTCGGCCTACGGCGCCTGCGCGGGCGGCACCAGGAGGCGGGTCTGAGGCCAGGCAGCCTCCGATTGGTGCAGAGCGGCGTCCATCGGGGTGGGCCTGCCCGGCGGGGCGGGGCGGGGCAGGGGCGGGGCTGCGCGGGGCGGGGCCGGGAGGTCGCGGCCTCCCCCTTCCGCCCTGGGCCACGCCCCGGCCCGGGTCACCTCTGGGGCGGCCTCCTCGGCCCGTGGAACCTTCCTGCCCTCCCCTGGGGCGTGCGTCCCAATCTCTGGTCCCCCAGTAGACGCCGCCGCGGGGAAGGCGGGGCTGTGCGAGGGCGCCGCGCTGCAAACCCAAGCCAGGCGGCCTGGAGGTTGCTGTAAAGCCTCAAACGAGGCTGATGTGTAAGAGTCTTTGCATTTCACCCGGGCTGTGCCACCTGACCGGGAAGGACGAGGGGAGTGGGGAGAGCAGGGCGTGCAGGACACGCGACGGCCCCAGGATGGGGGTGAGGGGTGAGGCCCTGACCCCACCGGGAGGTCCCCCAGGAGGAGGGGTGCTCGGGGTGAGTTCCTGACCCCACCAGGAGGTCCCCCAGGAGAAGTGCCCAGGGCTGAGGCCTGGACCCCAGAGATGTCCCCCCAGGAGGAGGGGTGCCCAGGAGTGAGGCCCTGACCCCACCGGGAGGTCCCCCAGGAGAAGTGCCCAGGGCTGAGGCCTGGACCCCAGAGATGTCCCCCAGGAGGGGGTGCCCAGGAAGTGAGCCCACAACCCACCAGGAAGGTCCCAGAAGTGCCCAGGGCTGAGGCCTGGACCCCACTGAATGTCCCCGGGAGGGGTGCCGGGGTGCTCCTGGGAGGGGTGCCCGGGAGTGGGCCTGACACAGGAGGTCCCCAGGAGAGGGGTGGGTGCCCAGGAGTGAGGCCCTGACCCCACCGGGAGGTCCCCCAGGAGGAGGGGTGCCCGGGGTGAGTTCCTGACCCCACTGTGAGGTCCCCCAGGAGGAAGGGGTGCCCGAGGAAAGACATGACGCCAGGGGCTCCGGGTACCCTCCACCTTTGCCCTCATTTCCGCCTCCCCGTGCAGCCTTGGGAACTGCAGGGCTGGGAACCCGGAGAAGGCGGCCAGAATCTGGAGGAGCTTGGAGGTGGCCTTCCCTGCCGGGAACACAGGCCAGGCCCCATCTGTATCTAACCTCGTACTGGAGGAGCACAGAGCGGATATCTCCAGATCTGAGTCCTGAACGCGCGGCCGGGAACCCCAGCAGTCCTGAACTTGTCAGGGGAGCGGCCTGCCGTGAGAGGTCTCCCAGGCGGCTGTGAGGCCTCTGGAACCTCCCTGCTTGGAGGAGGTTGACTGGGGACGGGGCCGTGGAGGTCAGTAAAAGGGACTGCTGCCATTAGCCCTGTGCTGTCTGCACACAGAGATTAAGCCCACTTGTGATTTGTTCCAGCTGATCTGAAGTAATGAGTAATTCACAATTAATGAGCGCGACTGTACGCAGCCCTTCCTGGACAAATCCTCGACTGTGTAAAACTAAGATTGAATGCAAACCATTCTGTCAATTAACCGTTACAACAAAGCCAAACTTCTGTTAAGCATCACTTCGTAGATGATTTTTTTTCCTTAAATTGCCTCCTTGTCTGCAAAGCCTGTTTTGCAAGTGGAATGCTTAAGTCACGTGAGTGGAAATGCAGCCTTATTTACACTTTAGCAAAAGCAACCTGAGAATTTGCTTCCAAGGACCTCATGTTCTCCAGAGGTTGGGGTACGAGGAATCACTTCATTGGAAAGGACTCGGTAAAAAGTAGCCCTGTAGCTGCCAGAATGCACTGCAGGCTCATGATAAGGTGGTAAGGGCCAGGGGTGAGGGGCCACACATGGCTTCTGCACCTCCACAGCACATGGTATCCAGAACTGGGCTTGCCTCCCACCTTCCTTCCTGCACATTTCCCGCTGCCAGAAATTTGTTTTTCACTGACTTCCCCCTAATTCAAATTTGATTAGAATCTCCTCTTTGGGAACATTCAAAGTGCCAAGGTGCATTTCAGAAATGCAAGGTTGCAGGGGCGGAGTCCTGAAATCCAAGGGTGGTGGGGCCTGAGATCACTGCCCTGGCAGTAGGCAGATCCTCGGGGAGAGGCCGGCAGAGGGCCTGGGCCGAAGGCACTGACACCCTAGCCTGGAGAGGCACAGGACGGGGAGCCTGGGACCTCAGAGCTGGCTGGGTTGAGGTCGTGTGGTCTTCATTCAGAGGGAAGTGAGGTGGTGAGGAAAGATGAACAGCGTCACGTGGGCAGCAGCGGAGGAAGTGACACAAGACACCCCACAGCTTTGGGTTCACTGAGTGGGCAGTTATGTTTATTTATTTTATTTTATTTTTGTAGAGATGGGTTCTCGCTGTTGCCCAGACTGGTCTCAAGCTCTTGGCCTCCCAGACTGCTGGGGTTACCAGTGAGAGCCTTTGCAGATGACCAGTTTTCTTTATTTTTAATTGTTTATGCGAAAGTTTTGGTGAATACTGGCTATATGGAGAGGCCTCAGTACCAATTGCCAGGGGCCTGGAGTAGGTGCAGTGGTCTCAATGTGTGTGTCCCCCCAAACCATATGTTGACACGTAACCCCCAAGGTGATGGGTTAGGAGATGGGGCTTTAAGCAGGTGACTGGGCCGTGAGGGCTCTCCTCTCAAGATGGATGGGTGCCCTTCTGTTCCTTCCTCCATGTGAGGGCCCATAGAAGGTGCCATCTCTGGGGAACAGGTTGTCACCAAACGCCAGATCTGCTGACGCCTGGATCCTGGACCTGTCGGCCTCCAGAGCTGTGTGCAGCACATTTCTGTTGTTTATACGTCACGTGGTCGAGGTATTTTGTTACAGCAGCACAAATGGACCAAGACCCCAGGTCTCCAAATCGAAGAACTGCACAGCAGCCCCTCAGTGCTGGTGGGGAGGCAGAGATTCCCTGCAGGTCTGCACAGATGGTGTTAGACTTGGGGGATGCTGGGTCCCCAGTAAGAATGATTCTGCCGTGAGTGCAGCTAGTGAGGGCTGAGTTCGAGCTTGAAAGACAAGAGCCAGATGGGTTCCTGAGACAGCCTGATCCCTAAGACCTTCGTGTGCCCAAGTCTCCAGAGGGGATGAACCTCGACAGACCTGGTTCGACCTCCCTTAGGCAGTGGGTGCCGCCTGGAGGTCAGGGTCGCTTGAGACCGTACAAGACTCTGCGCGTGGTGACCACAACACCCCATGATAAAGCAGCCCACGAGGGCATCCGGGCAGTTCGGCCGTGTGCACTGGGGTCATCTCTTCTACTCTGTCTCAGGTATTTAAAGGCTGACCGTGACTCACCATGTGGATTTAATGGCTCATTGAGGAGTTGCAGCCCGTGCTTTTTAAAAAGGTAATCTACAAAAAATAAATGGAAAAGTCTCCAGGACAGTAAACCAAGTCCGGACGTGGTCCCTCAAGTTCTGTTTTTCAGCCGCCCGCATTCCTAGGATTCAGACCCGTTGGGGATTCGAATTGCACAGGAAAACCCTATGTGGGTTCAGGGGGATGATGGCGAATTGGGGGTGGGTGTACCGGACCGGAGCTCCGGAGGCTACGGAAGGAAAATCAAGCCTGTGAATTGCAGAGCCTGGACAGAGGTCGAGGTGATGGCGTTCTGCAGATCCCTGAAATTCTGTGACATGTCAGGGGGAAGGGACAGCCCCATGTGGCCCCTTGGAGGGACCAAGGCCCTGCCCAGCGCCTTGCACAAGGCGGCAATCAGTGTTGGCTGCACCAACCTGCACCCTCAGGCCTTCTGGAAAGAGAAGGAGATCCGACTGACTGAGCCTCTCCAAAATTCCAAGCACTGCAAATACCTCGTTCAAGCGCAGTGCTGCATGACTGACCCGAAGCCAGAGTCTGCATTCCTTCCCCGGGCCTGCAGGAAGGGATGAGGTTCCGGTCACAAGAAGCGTTCCGTGATCAGCCAGGCAGATGCTGGCTGTGGATTCTAGGGGAGCATCAAGTACCAGGGACAATGTTTGCTTGGATTCCCCCGTCCCGCCCGAGCCCAGAACGTGGAGCCGGAGTCAGGGGCTTGTACATGGAGCGTTTCATGCCCAGGAGGCTGGGGCAGGGGCCGGGAAGGAGCGAGCGGGCCAGGACCAGCGCACTGTGCTGAGGGTCGCCTTGAGGGCTGGACCCTGGACCTCCACAAGCCTGGAGAATGTTCCCTCTGGGCAGCGAGGAGCCTCTGCTTGTTGTCAGCTGGAGCTGCTCCTTGGGGCATTTACTGCCCTGGCCCTGGGGTGGTGACTACAGGATCCCACAGGTGTCCCGAGGCCTGAGGCTCTTCTCACAGCAGAGGCTGCTCTGCAGGAACTGGAGTTAGGACCCGGAGGGTGGGATGGGCTGACTCAGGGGCTGGCTGGCAGGCTGGCAGGAGGAGGAGATGTGCAGTGAGACGGAGCCTCACCTCCAGGGATGGCCCCGCGCGCCGGAGCTGCCCTGCTGCACACTCAGCACTCGAGGCGGGTTCGGAGGTGATCTAAGCCCACAGCTGTCCAAGTCTGGAGAGAATCTGCGGTGGGTGGCAGGTGCCTGCGGACGCTGAGTGTGCAGCCCCAGTCACGCTCAATGCGGGGGCACCTGTGTTAGCCGCTGACGTGGACGGGAAAGGCCTGTGCTGAACAATGTTCCGTGTTCAATTAGACGCTTTCCTAAACAGGAGCGGAAGGTGTCTCGTGGGGGCTCCAAGTGAAATTTATGGAACTCACTCTCATGAGATATGCAATGTTTTTCACACGTGGGAGAAAGGTCTGGGATCGACTGGTGCCTGAGAGAATGCTGAGGATAAATGGGAAGCAGGACATTCCAGGGCACCTCCGTGTCTTGCATGAGACCTTGTGAGGACCCCGTGGTGCCCCTGACATCACTGTCAAAGCTGGAGCTGCCCCCGCATCCGCCTCAGCCTCCCTCAGGCATCCTCCCCAGATGGCCCTGTCAGCTCACATGGAAGACAGCTGCTGAGAAGCAGGTGGCTGAGAAGCAGGTGTGATGCCAGGCCGTGGGAGGAGCCACATCTGGACAGTGCGTGAAGCCAGTCCAGGGGCCACACTGGGACCTGCTCTCAGCTCTGCCACATCCTGGGCAAGTGGCCCTGGCATGCCAGCCGTGGTGTCCACAGAGGCCTCCATTCCTCATGGCAAAGTGGAGGCAAAAGTCAAGTTGGCCGATGCGGGCAAGACGCCTGGCCGACCTGGGGAGCCGCACCACCCCTCCCCACGTTGTGCTGCTGACTGAGGGGTGCTCAGTGCCACGGCGTCACAGTCAGTGCACAGACATGACCGCCGGCCTGAGAAGCCGCCGCGTGCTCCTGACCCACCAAGTTGGCAGGGAGGCAGGGGCGCTGTTGGCGTGGATCACCGAAGGAGCTGGCTGCCCAGCCGTCCCCGTGACTGGATGGAGCCCTCACACGTTCCTGTGCATCCTCTCTGGGATGGGCTCGGTGCCAGGGCCCAGGGTAGTTTTCAAATTGCAGGTCGTGGCTGTTATACTGGGGTCATGGGGTCAGTACACTGGGCTCTAACTGGCAATTCCTAAAAGTAAAATCTGAGTCTGTCTCATATAGTAAGAGCTGCATTGATGTGTAAAGCTTGTGTTGGTTTTGCACGTTCTATGCCAGAGTGTGCTGGACCGAGAATGAAAGCGCATTTCTCGCCGTGGTGCCTGCCACAGTCTGGAGGGAAAGATGAGTCCGTGGTTCTCATGTGGGGTTGCGGGTGCTGTCTACACAGGGAGTCCTGAGAGCCCATGTGGGACATGAGAGGGGCCAGAGAGGCTGGGGCAGGGGAGCCCGGGCCAGGCCCTGAGAACAAATATGGGTTATTCAGCTACTAAAGGTGCAGGGCTCAGCCCAAAGTCCCTGGCGACCCAAAGAGGACGGTGTGAGTCTGACGCTGCTGCGGAAGGCGGGGCTCACAGCAGGCTGCCGGGGCACCATTGCTGGGGGAAGGCCCTGTCCCCAGTGCACACATAGACGGCCCTTCGGAACCTGCGCAGCAGACAGTGTGGCCAATGCAGCTGCACCCCGGCCTGGTCCCCTGTGCCGTGCCCAGCAAGGAAGATGCCCCTGCCCAGCCCATCCATGCACCCTCCGGAGGCTGTCAGCTGCCCAAGACCCACACTGGCTCTTGCAGGCTAGAGGAGAGTTCAGTGGCCGTTTGGGTCCCTTCCCCGTGGAAACACCGACTTTGGGTACCAAAAGCTTGAATGTACAAATTGACAGAGCATGACCTGCCTGGTGCCAGTGGGTCTTTGCATTTTTCTGGTGCCCTCTGAACTCTTAGGCCCCTGTTCTGGCGGACTTGGCCCGGGCACCCCCAGGTAGGAGGCACAACCCTGATCCCAATGCCCAAAACCTGCTCCACACACCTGAGGTACCTTCCAGCCACCGCCACCCGGCACACCCAGCACCTGCAGATCCACCACCTTAAAACCCACCTCTACTGCCCCGTGCCACGGTCCCTGCGGGGCCTCTGTGTCTCCCTCCCTCACCTTCTTGCGTATCCACAGTGAACAGGGCCATCTTTCCAAAATGCAGGTCTGGCCGGGCGTGGTGGCTCACGCCTAAAATCCCAGCACTTTGGGAGGCCGAGGCAGGTGGATCACATGAAGTTAGGAGTTCGAGACCAGCTTGGCCAACATGGTAAAAACC